TGGGGACTCCACCACTGCCCTGGGCAGCCTGGGACAGCCCTGGACAAACCTTTCAGGGAAGACATTTTTCCTAATGTCCAACCTAAACCTCCACTGCAGTAACTTGAGGCCATTTCCTCTTGTCCTGTCACTTGTTCCTTGGGAGCAGAGCCTGACCCTCACCTGGCTGCAGCCTCCTGTGAGGGAGTTGTCAGATCCAGAAGGTCTCCCCTGAGCCTCCTTTGCTCCAGGCTCAGCACCCCCAGGTCCCTCAGCTGCTCCTCACCACACTTGGGCTCTAGACCCTTCCTCAGCTTCGTTGCCCTTCTCTGGACATGCTCCAGCCCCTCAATGTCCTTCTTGAAGTGAGGGGCCCAAAACTGACCCCAGGATTTGAGGTGCAGCCTCATCAGTACCCATTCCAGGGGGACAATCCTTGCCCTAGTCCTGCTGGCCACACTAGTGCTGATCCAAGCCAGGATGGTGGTGGTCTTGTTGGCCACCTGGGTGCACACTGGCTCATATTCAGGTGGCTATTGACCAACACTCCCAGTCCCTTTCCCCCTGGGCAGCTTTCTAGGCACTCCTCCCCAAGCCTGTAGTGTTGCCTGGGGTTGCATGGAAAGGCTCAGCCCTGAGCACCACCCACACCTCCAGCAGCCCAAAAAGCATTTCTAGCCCAAAAGTTTGCTCTGAGGAGTGTGACAAAGTGTTAGGGGGGCAGAGGCAGCAAGGGACACAGCCCTGGAGGGGTGCACTGGATGCACCCCTCACCCAAGCCAAGCCTTCAGCCCACAGAGGACACCCCGGGGTGGCAGCAGACCCACAGGTCGTTGCTGGCAGCACCCTCCTCACACTACAGCTTATGCCACAGTGGTGCCCTGCACCGAGCCCTGCCCACTTCTGCCATGCTGCTGGGACGTGCCAGACCTGGCACAGGCACAGGATGGACCCACCTGGTCACCTGGCAGTGTGGGAACTGGGCAGGAAGGCCCTGGAGGGAGACCCATGCTCCTACCAGCCCATGGTGGATGGGGTGGCAGAGCTGTCAGCCCCACCCAGGGCATCTTCACCTTACTACATTGCTTCCCATTCTCTGGAAAATGTGCCAGAAAACCTTGGAGTCACACTAGACCAGGTCCAGCTGAACACACTGGCTGCCCCAGCACTCACTGCTGCCCCCAGGGATGAAGCTCACCCCCACGTGAGCACCCACCCCGGGGCCTGCCATGCTGTCTGATCCAGCTGCCAGGCTGGGCACAGCAAACAGCCCTCAAAGTGTTCTGACAAGGTCAGGACAGACCATCCTCCATCCAGAATGCTTCTATCTCTTCAATGAGCTCTTTTCCCACTCGAGTTTCACAGGACCTTTGGGTTGGAATGGACCTTCAAACATCACCTAGTTCAACCCCACTGCCACAGGCAGGGACATCTCCCACGAGATCAGGTTGCCCAAAGCCCCATCCAACCTGACCTTGAACACCTCCAGGGATGGAGCATCCAGTGACTCAGTAGCCTCATGGCACAATCTATGTCCAGCTTCCTACATCCATCCTTCCTATGTCCAACCTAAACCTACTCTTTCAGTTTAAAGCCAATGCCTCACCCTGCCAGTGCTGGCTCTGGTGAAAAGTCTCTCTCTGTCTTTCTGAGCTGCCTTTATATATTGGACAGCTGCTAGAAAGTCTCCCCAGAGCCGTCTCTGCTCCAGGCTGCACAACCCCAACTCTCTCAGCCTTTCTCCACAGCAGAGGTGATCCAGCCCTCTGACCACTTCAGTGGCCTCCTCTGGAGCCGCTCTGCCATTTGTCACCCATGGACCTCCACCAGTCCTTCTCCACAGGGCTGAAAGTCTCCCTTTCTAGAGAAGCCCCATCTGCTGCACACATCTCAAGTGAAGCCCAGCCTGATGTTGTGTCAGAAAAGAAACTCTCCTGTGCTTCTTCAGCCATGCAGCAGAAACTAAAGCACGTGAACCAACTGGTCACACAGAACACACCCACCCTGGGCACTCAGCATCACTCCCACGTGCAACAGGCACCTGCCAGCTGGGACCAGGAGGTAATGGAAAAGGGAGAGGAAAAGAGGATACTCAGAAATTATCAGGAAGAAGACACAGAGAGACTGGCTCGATGAAGAAAGTCCTGATGAGTGCTCCCCAGAGACTTTCAGGGACACCAGCACGGCCTGAGCTCACCTAGAGAGCTACAGCTCACGGGGAGCCAAACCAAAGGGCTGTACCCAGCCCTGCTGAGCTGGAGCAGCTCTCCAAGCAAGAAGTGCTTGATGCTCTAGCCCTGGAAACATTCCAGCTCAGGTTGGACAGGCCTCTGAGCAACCTCCTCTAGCATGTCCCTGCTCACTGCTGGGGGCTTGGACCACATGCCCTGTAAAGGTCCCTCCCAACCCAAACTATTCCACGGCTCTGATTCAAACCCTCTGCAGAGGGGCACTGGTGCAATGCAGCATCTCTGCAGGGGCAGACGTGCCTGGTGCACACCAGAGCTGCTCCCACCAGGTGTTGGTACATCCCAGGCAGCCCCAGCCAGCACAACCCTACCTCCAGGAGACATCTTGAAGATACACTTACGTTTGCTTTACAGCTATTCTGAGCAAGCAGCAGCTCAGTATTTATGGCAGAGCCTCAGACTCTGCTCATCTTGTTCCTCCTCTGCTGGCAAAGCTCTCACCAAGGCCCCCCAGCAGCTTCAGCTTCAGCAGGCAGCCTCTGCTCCAGAGGCACCCGGCCCAAAGCAAGGTCAGAACAGCTCCTGAGCATCACAGCTTGAAATGCAGCAGAGATGTGATGTGCCATCCAAGCGACTCTTTTCCTGCCTTTTCAAAATTCTTCCCCTAAAATCCAGTTCTTTCTTATTCAGCTGAGAAGCATCAACATATGTTGATCTGCAGCCAGATATAGCCTGGGTGTTGAGTGACACCCCTTCCTCCTGATCAGTACACCACACCATACCTCTTTTACTTCAGAAGGTATTTAACTGAGGGTTTGGTTTGTCAGATTGTTATTTTATGTTCCCACAGGCATCCCACATGTCTACAAAACCCATCTGATTTGAGAAGGAACACGGAGTTTCGTGCAAAATGAGCTGGAAAAAAAGCATTTGAAATGGCTTTCTGTCATTAAATAAAACTACCTGAATATTCAGAGTACACAAAAAGCACATCAAAATGTACCTTGCATTTGAGAGAAACTCGTTAAACAGAAAATATTAACTAAGGTTAGGAAATGGGGTTGTTTTCAGGGCCAGGAACCCTCCTGAAGCACACACTGAAACCTGGGTGACCTTCCTGCTCCCTACAGCAACCCAGCTGGAGAAGGGGCAGAAGCTGGAGCCAGACTCTTCTCAGAGGTGCACTGGGGCAGGACAAGAGATGACAGACTGAGCTGGGGCACGGGGAATTCTACTTAAGTATTAAGGGAGAAAAAATCATCATAAGAGTGGTCAAGCACTGGAGTGGGACCCAGAGGACCCACGGATCGATGCCACGCCGAGGAACAACCCAGCTGCCAGGTTTCTAGTTGGGCTGTTGCTTGTCCCTGGGTAGCCCAAAAGGGGACAACCAACCTCTGTGCCCAGCTCACCTCCCAGGCTCATGAGGCTGCCCACTGGGCACAGGGTTACTTGGAAAAAGACCTTTGAGATCTCCTGGCACCACCAGGTCCCCACAGGACCGTGTCAGTAACACGATGAAGAGCTGCAGGAGCCTGGAGTTGGACACCAGCCTGGCCAGAAGCCCAAGCCCCAGAGCAGAGCAGTGTGCTACACCACCCACCTCAGCCTCCCAGCAGCTCCTCTCCCCTGACCACCTGCAGAGCCCAGAGAAATGCCAAGAAATGCCCAAATGACAAGAAGATCTCTGAGCTCCTTGACTGAGCTGAGAGAGTTATGTTTGTGCAGCCTGGAGAAGAGAAGGCTCCTGGGAGACCTCATTGCATCTTTTCAATATAGAAAGGTGGCTTAAGAGAAAGATGGAGAAAGATTTCTGACCAGAGCCTGCAGTGACAGGACAAGAGGCACTGGTTTCAGCTGAGAGAGAGTAGGTTTAGGTTGGATATAGGGAAGAAAGATTTTAGGATGAAGGTGGCGAGACACTGGCAGAGGTTGTCTAGAGAAACTGGATGCTCCATCCCTGGAAGTGTTCAAGGTCAGGTTGGACAGGGCTTGGGCAATCTGATCTCGTGGAAGATGTTCCTGCCCGTGGCAGTGGGGCTGGACTGGAGGATGTTTGAAGGTCTCTTCCAACCCAAACCACCTGAACCTGTGACCTCAGACAGGTTCCAGCAATTCTCCCTCCTGCTTGCTCTGGACACCAGCTTTCTCCAGCCCCAGTCTGGCAGAGGACAGTTTGTTTCCCCACCTTGGTGTGGGGCTGGGAGGACGCTGGGCTCTGAGCTGGAGCTGCCTCTGCAGAGGTGATCCCTGAAGGTCACCCTCGTATCGACCTGGCATCGGCTGTGGTACAGACAGCAGACCCCACAAGCAGCTTCCCAGCTGAAGGGGAGACAGCCTGGAATTGCCACAGCTCCTCAGGCTTCACTGCACAGAGCCTGGAGAAAGCAGGAGTTACTGGTGCCCCCTCAGAGCAGCAGATCCAGGCCCAGATCCCCACCCCTGGGTGCTGCAGGGCAGTGCTGGCAGCTCCCATCACCTTCAACAGGTTCATGGCTGGCTAGAAGGCAAGGCCAAGAGTTTCCCTGCTCTGGGACACCCTCCTTTCCCCACACCCTCCAGCAGTGAGCAGAGGGCACTGCAGCTCTCCCCGCAGCCATGCAGAGGCAGGTCCCAGTGCTGCAGCAAGGACTGCATCCTGCCCGCTGATCTCTCACCAGAGGATCAGCTTTTAGAGCTCAGGCCACAGCTGACAACAGATGGACTCAAAAAAATCCCGTGGTCACACAGCACAAGACACCAACTTGGCACTAATTCCCTCTGTTGGATCCACATTCCTTTGCAGCCTGGAGGTAATGAGGAGTTTGTGGGTCCAGCCACCCACGCTCCTGTGCATGGTGCAGCCCAAGCGTGGCAGCTCTGGCCAGCACAAAGTCTGGCACGTGTGCTGGGGCCAAGGTGCCACCACGTGCCCAGGCCTGAGCCAGATAAAGCCACTCTGCTGGCTGATCCAGTAGAGACCACTACAGCCAGCACCTTGGTCTCTCCTGCCTCCATCCCAACAGCCTCTGCAGTCCCGGGATGCCCAAGACGACTGCAGAGCTCTGACTTCAGAGAGTCCAAGCATGCCCTGTTCCCACAGATTCCACGTTATTTAGGGATTGAAGCCCTGGTTACAGAGACAGCTGGAGACTGTGGGTAACTGTCTGATGAGACCCCAGTCATCAGCAGTCAAATGCTTCCAAGTTAACCCCAGACCTGTGAAGCTTCTGCAGGCTGTGTGAGGGGTGCACGAAGCTTCTTCTGCCAGGCTGGTGGCCTTGCAATGAGCTCAGTGACTGTGCTCCCTCTGCTGCTGTGCTCAGAGCCTTCCCACCAGCACCCACCATGGACATCAGAGAGGACTGTGACCTGTTCTCACTTTCCAGCTGCCTCAGGCCAGGACCCAGCAGGGACTTCTGCAGAGATCAGACCTTCCCACTGCATCAGCTGCTCCTGAGAGAGAAAAGCCTCTCTGCAAGGCACCCCAGCACTTCTATCAAATATTTCTAAGCTGTTTCTTGACTTCACGGGGCTGGGAGTTACTCAGAACTGCAGGATAATTCAGGCTGGAAAGGACTTCAGGAGGTCATGCAGCCCAACCTCCAGCTCAAAGCAGGGTCAGTGACTCCCAGTTCCTAGCACGTGCTGTTGGACCCACGGACAAGCCCCGTGTCCCTCAGCCCCCACCTCTGGTAGAGCCAACACACTCTATCCCACCTTGGCTGTGGGCAGAAGCACAAGCAACACCACTATTCATCACAGCTGAGCATAACACAGCCCTGGGGCCATCCAGGAGGTGGATCCCATCTCCACCTCCACGTCTAGATAACCCTGCTAAGAAGTCCATCAAAAGAAGGTGCTACTTATTGGTGTTTTCACGAGAACATGAGGAAGAGTTGTGTCAGCCCTTCAAAAGACTGTTTCCTGCACTGCTAAGCCCCATCAATGCCTGGAGGAGGGACAAGCACAGCCCCAGCAGGGAAGAACCATTCCAGCAGGCTGCAGCCCTGCACAATGCTTTCTGAAGGATCACTTGTCTTCTCAGACTGAGTGAAATTTGAAGTGCATCCGTGAGCTCTGGTCTCATTTACGAGCTGCTCAGGCACTGCAGGAACACACAGGGACTTCAGGTTTCTGAACATGTTGCAGGTGAACGTTCTCCCCACAGAGCTGGCACTCCAGAGGGTATTTTTTGCTCCTGTCAGAGTCACCTTTAGTGAGAAGCTCCACATGGATGTACAGAAAGCCACCCACACCAGGACGAAGCCAACACACACTGCCCTCCCCTCCATGGATCTTCACACCATGGGTCTTCCATGCTGGCTTTCTCACTGACCTGCCTGGCAAAGGGCCTGGTATTTGCACACCAGAAGGGGACTGCTCCAAAGCCAGGCACAGTGCTCCTGTCCCACCACCTCCTGGGATCCCTCAGCTGCCTGAGCCACCTCCCTCCTCCCCTCCCCTCTGCCACAGGGCACTCACCTGAGTTTTCCTTATCCGCAGGTCAGCAGATGACCTGTTCAGTCCTTCCTCTTGTTCAATACTCTGCTCAATACCTGGTTGGGGTAGAAGGACACAGATTAGTTGTTTTGAGAAAGAAAAATGATTCTTTGGCAAAGGGCCTGTGAAAGGCTGAAGCTGGTGACTCGAGGGGCATCTGGCACTGAGCAACCCCCAGCTCCTCACCCTAGCTCACAACTCAGCCTAGACTGGCAGCAAAGCCCCGTTTCACTACTGAAACACCCTCAGGGCCTGGCCACCAGCTGGGACCTGGTGCTGTCAGGGCAGCACCCAGCACCCCCAGGCTGGAAAGGGAGGGTTTCCACCCCAAACTGATGGAACACTCAGGGCTGGTCTCCACCCCCTCCAGCACTCCAACAAAATGGAGTGCTGCTCCCCCTGCGAGGCAGGAGGAGGAAACCCAGAGCTAAAATGTCTCTGCAAAATACCAAAAGCTCAAGACTTCTCCAGGGACCCTAAAAATAGTAGGTCTGTCAGCTGCCTGGCTTTGCACGGGGAGGACCCACCAGGCTGGCGAGAGCTGAAGGCTCCTCTGCAGCAAAGCAGAGATTGGCCCTTTTCCTCATGCCTGGGAGTGGGGCTGAGGGAGGTGAGTTGTTCTCTTGCCCAAAACCCATAAATCCCATCAGGGGGGAGTGCTGTCCTGCTCAGCATCCCACCATGGTTTGGGCAGGGAGAGGGCATGAGGTTGGAGGGCAGGAGATGTGGCACAGAAGGCAGCACAAATCTGCTCCTCAGGGCCAGCTGGGGAGATGCTAATTCAAGAACCTAAATTCAGGGACTTCAAAAGCCTGGAAGAATGCTCCCATCAGCAGGCTGGCCCTGTGTGCAGAGATACATGCCACTGTGCAGACCACTGGGTGTGAGCTGGTGGCACCCCTTGAGTTTGGCTGAAGACTCCATTCCCAGTGCAGATGTCCCACAGCTCCCTCAGCCCAGCTGTCCCCAGCACCTTCTATACTGGAGCAGGTCCCACAAGCCCAGCATGGGGCAGTTCCTCCTGCAGCAGGGGCTTCCCATTCTCTGGAGCTGCCCATTGGCCCCACACCAGCACCCATCCCAGGAGGGCAGAGCTCAGGACACCACCACCAAGGTGGACATCTGCATTTCTGCTGCGTGCTGGTTCACATGGGTGGCCCCCCAGCACCACCTCACCGAGAGCAGCAGCACTCTCAGGGAGCCTGGTGGGCCTGGGGAGGGAGTCCAACAGCACAGCACGCTCCACGGAAGTGCTGGAGAACATCAGCACCAATTCTGCACTCCCTCCTGTTCCCTCCTGGAGCGAGCGTCTGCCTCTCGAGCTCCTCTGAAAGGTCCCATCCCACACTGGCAGACGGGCACGGCACTGCTCCTGTGCCCCCCAGCCTGCCAGCACACTGCCTGCTGCCTGCCCAGCAGACTCCATCAGCAACTGGTCTTCCTCCACACTTGTCAGAAGCCGTTCCCAAGGAACCGTATTGGCAAACATTGTGCATTTATGGTAATTAATAAAATCACATTTTCCCAAGAAGCTGGTAATTAGACGTCGCCACTGCATGAGCAATGCCTGTCCTAAAGAACTCAGCTCGTTGTCAGCAGATGGTGTTTTTGATCAGTCCTGACTGTTTTCTCTCATTGATCATGCTGGCCACGAGGCGACTTGGGACAAAGCACAAGGACTAATCATCTGTTGCTCCAGGTAAATATGATACCAGGGAGTCTTTTCTGGAAGAAGGAAACAGGAATTGGAGCCTGTTCTGCAATCCTTCAGGCTCTCAGAGGCCCTTAAAAGGCAGGACAAAACAGCTATGGAAAAGGATTTTTGTTCTGCACCAGCTCAACCTTGTCCCCAGCTGGACAGCAGGGATCTCAGCATGGCCAGGGCTGCTCTGGGCCATGGGAAGGGATGCCCTGCTCTGTGAAATGGGTAAGCTGGTCCCCAGCTCTCCTTCCTGGGTCTAGCTGAGATCATGTGTCAGGAGGACAGAGGCAGCAAGGGGACCATGGAGCTACAAGTCCCCTCCTGGCATACACACAGGATGTGACCATGCCAGTGGTGACAAGCCCAACAAATGGCTCCAGCTGTATCTAAGCCCTTCATGTCTGCAGGGTTCTGCTAAAACCCTGGGATTAGGGAGCTGCCATGGGGGAAGCACCAGCTCCCCTCCCACCCTTCAGCCACGGCCAGGTCTCCTGCAACAATCTCAACCAAATCCCACTCTGATGTCCAAGACCACTGCAGGCAAATCCAAGCCAGGCTGGGGTGACCTGACTCCTGCCTCAAGAAGCTGCTGCCCTCACTGGCTCCCTGAATCCCCTGGGGTCCAGCCCTGGGCTTTTGGGATCTGAAAGCTCCAGCACAACCCCAGCCATCTGTGGGCTGACTGTTGTCTTCTTCTCACTCCCCACTTGTCAAAGAGATGGATTGACTCTTCCCATGGTGGAAATGAATAGTCACATTGGCCACTCTCTGCCCCTGCACTGCCCAGGGTGGAGGCACACCAAGGAAACGAGGGCAGGACAACCTTCCCCAAGCCTACTGGCCTCTTTCTTCTCCACCACCTGCCCCACAGAGCCCATGCCTGGGGAAGTGGTGCCTGCTGCCCACCCCACTGCTAGTGTAGCTGAGCCTGGCAGGAGGCACTGCTGCCTTGGGCAGAGCCACCAGCGATGCAGCCTGCACTGGGGATGGAAAAGCAAGACCAGCAGTGGGCAGCACCAGCCCCACAGCAGCACGCCCCACGGCAGCACACCACTGGAGACCTGGCAGCACCACCCAGCCCAGCCAGAGCTGCACAGGGAAGAGGGACCATGGCTCCTCAGATGGGACCCCACAGTGCTGCCCATGCCAACCTGGCTCACTGGGGAAGAGCCAGCTCTCCTTGGAGGCTTGCAAGCCCCACAGCAGCACCTCCTCATCCACTCAGCCCTGGCAACCCAACCTTTGGCCACGCTGCAGGTTTGCTCACCAGGAGAGCTCAAGACCTGGCAGTGCTGGCAGCACAGGACCTGCTCACAGCACACAAGATGCTGCTGGCCCCATTCCCTCACCTCCATCCTCAGGATGGGGCACAGAGGGGGCAAATTCACAAAGGGCAAATAAAAGCAGCTAGAAGACGCCGGGGGAGGGAAGGTGACACCCAGCCCTGGGTGATTCCTCCAAAGCTGTGGCAGATGCCACTTGTGACTGTCCCAGCTCTGTGACACCTCCCAGCACCAGACAGGACCAGGCTGAGCATCTCTAACCTGCCCCTTCCTACCTAGAGCAAACCACCCCAGAACTATCTTGGCCTGAGGTGGGGGGTTAGGGTGGGAAGTGCTGAGGAGAGGGGCATGGAGCAGGCCCCAGGGCTCTGGGTGGGAGCAGAGCAGGCAGAGCCCCCAGCCCCAGCAGGGGGAAACACTCACTCTTTAGCTTGGAGCGCACTTTGTTCGCCGTCTTCTTTATGTCAGACATCAGCTCCTCCAGCTCCTCCTTCGTTTCTGGGGAGAAAGAGAAGAGCAAACGTGGATGTCTTGGAGACACTGCTGAGATCTGCTGCCCGGCTCCATGGCACGTGGACACCAGATGTGTGAGTGCTCCCAACCCGTCAGACTCTCCTCACAACCCAAAGCCTGGAAATAACCTGGGAATGACCCTTCTGCTGGTGGGGTGAGCAGGGAGGTGTTCTGTGGGACGCCCTGTCCACACACCCAGCACCATCCTGCCCCACAGCCAGTGCTCCATAGCAAGTGGAAGGGAAGAGATGAGCAATTCACAGTGCTGGCTCTTGTACTGCAGAGAAAACCACTGCTGGGCACCCAAAACTGCTGGACCCCGCTGAGCACAGCAGCAGGGCTGGAGCAGGGGCTCAGCACCCACACTCAGCACCCTGCCCTGCCTGCACAGCCCTTTGGGTGCTCCCCTGCAAAAGGCTGGGTGGTGGGAAACACCCCGTGCTCACCCGTGGGCTCGTGGCAGCCCAGCTGGCTGGCCAGGGACCTAACTGTGCCCCAGCCATGGGACCAGCCCACCCCAAACCTGGCAGGGAGACCAGCATGTCACAGTACCTCCAGATCCAGGTACTACAGAAACTCCAAAACATCCCCCACTCAATTACGACTTCTCGGAATCGCTGCCACCCGAACGCTTGATTTTGATGAGATCAGGAATTAATTAATCCCAGCACTGCTGAAGGGACTCTGGGCACATGAAGTGAGTCACTCTGCTGGCTGGGGCAGCTCCGGAGCTGCCCGCTCCCCAGTGCCAGCCAGGGGCAGAGCTACAGAGCCACGACGATGGGGATGTGCTGGGGGAAGGTCACAGCCTATCGCCAGCTGTACGTGCTGCCTCAGAGCCAAGAGCCTCAGCATGACTGGGAGAAGGAGGAAAACCTTCCCTCCAGACCCCGGGTGGCTCTGAGCAAGGCAGCCCAGCAGCCTCACTGGGGAAGTGATGCAAGGATGTCTGTGCTGGAGAAGAGGCACAAACACAGGCAAAGGGAGAGGATGTTTTCACTCTGGGTTGTCATTTAAGGGACTAATTCTTTCTTTTTCCTCCATTCTTGAAATTTAAGCAAGGAACAAACCAGCCTGGGCTGAGTAACCCCCTGCACCAGATGGTACAGCTGGGGGCAGCTGGTGGGGAAGCAGACAGAAGATCAGCAGTGTGAGGGACAACAGGCTGCCAGGAGTATGGGGACAAGCTGAGAGCTGGGCTGGGTCACCTGGGGAGGGGAAAGCAAAGGGGGTTCCTGCTGCTACCTACAGCTACCCAGCAGGAGGGTGGAGAGAAGCTGGAGCCAGACCTCCTGCTGCTCCTTACAGGTGACCTCCAGCTTCTCGCTGGTCCTTGGAAGTGCACAGGGACAGGATGAGCAGGGATGGACTAAGCTGGGATATGCAAAATTCAAATTAGGTATTAGGAAAAAAAAATAGTCATCATGAAGGCAATCAAACATTGGACCCAGAGTGGCTGTGGGATGTCCATCCTTTGGGACATTCAGCACGTGACTGTGCAAAGGCCTGAGCAACCTGGTCCTGCTGGAGAGACCAGGGACCTCTGAGGTCCCTTCCCATCCACATCCACCTTCAGTTCTGTGTAAGAATTCCATGTAACTCCCTGCTATGCTGTTCCCCTTCTCCATCCCTTGGGGCTGAGGGGTACCCTGGAGCAGGGCTGCTGCTGAGGACACCCAGGAAGCAGTGGGCACACCAAGCATCCCCCCAGGCTGGCTGCTCAGGAGGGGGACAGGGACACAGGACACGAACAACTGGGCTGTTGTCCCTTAAAATATCTTCCAGCTGAGCAGCAGGGAGAAAACACTCCTTCTGGCTGGCTTTGAGTCACAGGACACGTGAGGCTTACTCGTCGACCTGGCAGGCACAGGCTTCCCAGACAATTATTGTCACATCCATGGTGTCTGGTTAAGTGACTCACTGCGCTCTGTTTAACCATTCACGGCGACTAACAGCCAGCAAGGACCTGAAGTGCCACACCACCACCACCACTGCCCCAGCCAGAGCCACTGGGCAAGCAGGGCAGAGCTCACAGAGGTGCCCCCACGGCCACCAGCACCGTGGGGCCATGTCACAGAATCGTTTAGGCTGGAAAAGACCTTCAATATCAAGTCCAACCATTCCCCCAGCACTGCCAAGACCCTAACCCATGTCCCTCAGCACCACATCTACGTGGCTTTTAAGCACCTCCAGGGATGGGGGCTGCACCACTGCCCTGGGCAGCCTCTCCCAGGGCTTGACAACACTTTCAGGGAAGACATTTTTCCCAATGTCCAACCTAAAACTCCACTGCTGCAACTTGAGGCTGT